GATTGATTACTTAAATTAATGTTTGTGATTGATTAGTGAAGCTTGCTAGTAGTTTGTTTCAAACCCCTAAACCTAATTATTATTAACTCGTATCATTCAAATATGAATGATACATCTTGTGAAGGCCAATATAAGCATGTTTTATGTGTCTGAAATACATTGAAATATTTTCACACATTTTGCATACTTAGACAAAATTAAAGCTTGATTGGAAATGAAAAAAGTTAGATTTATATTTCTTATATTTATATTTATCTTATCTTTCAGAATTGTCAACTTGATAACCAAACACGCTAACTTTTAAAAATGTTATTAGAATTTGAATAAATAAATAAATAAATAAAACAAAACAACAACAAAAAAAATCAAAAATAAAACAAAATAAAATACAATAAATATAAAAAATATAAATAAAATTAATTAAAACGAAAAATGTATAATTAGCATTTAATAATGAATTAAAAATAATTCACAAATGAATAAATAGTAAAAAAATAAAATAAAATACCCACAAATATTAAATTGGTTTATGATTGGTTCACTCTCGATAAATGTAATCAATTAATATCATTTTATATAATCAAACATCTTAAAATTTTTATTTTTATAATGTGTTTTCATATTTATAGGGTAAAACAGGGTAAGGGTATTATGAAATCCTGATTAATAACCTAGTTTTGGATTTATGTGGATTTACATATGAAGAGATGCAAATGTTTCATTATATCTCGGACTTATTAGGCATGCAGAAGTCTAATAATCCCTATTGTGGAGTGTGAATTATGAATCCAAAGTGTGTGTAAGGTGTCTTGTTAATCAGAACCAACCGTGAGAGGGTTCTGTCTCAATGTATGAATACTTCATGACTGATAACTGCATCCGAGGGTAATGAATGGAAATCCTGACCATCCCAAAGAAATCATTTTTTATTTCACCACAGGAGTCACTGACATTCCTTCTCTGTTCCTTTCTCCAAATGTATATTTCATTCTCTCACTGTCACTGTGTCCCACACGTTTTTTTTAATTTTTTTTTTTATCTCTGTACTGTCAGAAAGAGGAGAAAGGCTGAAGCAAGATGACCTTAACACTAAGAAATTGGTAAAGAGTTCATCTATATTTCTGCAACACATTCAAACAGTTTCATTACGACATTTATTTTAATTTCAGTTACATAAAGATTCTGGACACAACAGGAAGTGAAGGGGACTTTTAAGTTGGTTTCTAGGCCTTCTTCCACCTGTATTTCCTCCTTGCAGGTGTTGTTTTGGGCCTGTATTCCAGCCTAAATTATACATTTACTCTGTTTTCTCCAGACAGACAAAATGGTTGTGACCTTTCTACTGTGACCTGAAATTTACAGTGTGGAGTAATCATATGGATTCAGCTTTTGGACACAAAATGGAGGGTTCTAGAACAAGGGAACAAAAGGATTTGGTAAGATCAGTCTTTCCTTTTACTTTTGGCTGTGAAGAGCTTGGTTTTAGAGACTGGCCTATTTTGTGTTCACAGGGAGTGGATGGATTTCTTCTGTTGTTGTTAGTTGTTTGTGTAAACCAGCAAAAATATGATTGATTCAGTGAATAACATCTAATAACAATGTCTGAATTTAAAAAAGTGTTTCCAAAGCACTGCAATGAGGTTCTGAGTGACTTTGGTTCTGGGTGTTTGCAAGGCTGTTGAAAATCCCACTGTTGAAGTGGACTGGTGCTTTTTCAAGCACACGGTTAAAAATAAAGTTTTTTTTATCGGCATTGATGTTTCCATGAAGAACCTTTAACATGCAACCTTTCCATTAGACAGGTTATTTAAAGTTGAAAGGTTCTTCAGATTATTAAAATGGTCTTTGCACTAAGAAAAAAATGGTCCTTTTAAGAACTGTTCATTGAAAGTACTTTGGGGAACCAAAAATGTTTCTTCTGTGACGAAACTTTATTTTTAAGAGTGCATGTCCACATTGGTTTCATAATAACAGCGCAAACTTTCATAACAATGCCTGAGATTTTAGCAAAGAGTATATTTGCCATAGATTATTTTTTTCATGAGGGCAAAATTGACATTTGAACACATTCATAACTGCAAAACGTAATTGCACACTTCAACAAGTCATGCAATTTGAGTTATCATTAATGTCTGTAGATGGTAAATTTAATAATAATTTTAAAAAAAAATGAAAGCAAAAGTCAAAGATTAAATTGCAACTCATCATAAAAACACACTGAAGCTTGGTGGTAAATGGCAATAGTTCTTTTATTTTTTTCCTCTATATTTTAAAGGTTTTTTATTTACAAAGAAACAAAATAAAACAAAAATAATGATTTTTTTGACAAACACCGTTTGTCTGCATATAGGTGTAAGAAAGTATACATTTACCTTTCTTTATTCAGGATCAAGTAACTAATTGTTCATGTATATTTATTGAATGATTCTTTTCTCCATTTTTTTCATTCTTTTTGTATTTTTTAAACCAAGCATTGGTGTACATGAACAAGCATAATGAAAAAAATATATATATAGCTGAGATTAAGAAGAGCTTGAGGCCTGTTCTAGAATCTTCCATTATTTGCATCACGTCATTGAACATATCAAACAGAATGATTTCACCTGAATCGTGGAGGCTGCAAACCAACCGTTTTGGTTTTTCCCTTTATTTCAACATCACTCCTCCTTTGTCTTTTGCATTGTTCATTTCCCATCACATAAACACATATATGATTAAAAACAAATAAAAAACAAACAAACATACGAAGATATGTGCTGGTTTTCTTAAACGCCTCCTCAGAAAGTTTTTTTTTTGTGTATTGTATGAACGCCTCTCCTTCCCATTCCGGAATTCTAACAGTGTTTAAAGCTGAGAGGAAAAAGCACATTAACACGGGAAGGGTTCTCCTTCGAAGGCAAGTACTGTACAGTATCAAAAAATAGCAGATACCTAGAATACGGCTGACCGTCCTATCTGTACACTAGTTTCTATACACTATGGCATAGCAGGAGTTAAGCGCTTTTTGATGTGTTTGAACACAAAGGTCGTCCCGTCGGCCAGGAGCAGAGGATGCGATTCTGGATGATGTAGCAACCCCTTCAGTTAACCAACTAATGTATGAGTTTCTGCTTCTAAGTTCCTCTCTCTCTTTAAACAGAAAGTGCAATTCACAATAAAAGTTTGTTTTGAAATGTTTCACTTTGGCCAGTTTCATTCCACACAACATCAAACCGAACATCAGTAGCTATAAAGTTAAGTTCCACACACATTTAACCAATGATCTATCGTGATTCCGGCCGATACTGATTTGTTTGCGAACAGATATACTTGGTATTTTCACTAGTATGTTAATCGCACACGCCGAGCAAATGTCATCCTTTTGCTCCGATACGTTTGGCCATTCCCATTGCTTTTTGTTCTCGTCGGAAAACATTGAACATACACGTATACACTTGTTTACATACACGTGTGCGCGAACGCGCGCTCACACATGAGTCACACTCATAAAATGAACAGGATGAAACATGGCTATAGTTTAGGCACAAATACTTAAGAATGTCCTTTTCATGAAAATTCTATATTTCTGATATGTACGGAGAACGTCTAAGCAGACAATGAACAAAAAAACAATCTCACAATACATTTAAACGTCAACGTTTTTTAAATAGTTTCTCTTTTAAGTATTCGTGACAATTATGGTCGCTGTATGGGATTTGCATTGGTACGGTACTGACACAAGTGTGTTTTTTTGTAGTATTGTCATCTTTTAAACATTGTGCAAGGGGGCTTGGAGACTTTGCACAGGTCAGATGAGTTTTTGCATTGTTCTGCCGACTTTTAGTAGCGATATTGAATGAATAAATTTAAAATAGATTGGGTCACAGCTGCTAGTTACCCCTAGTTAAATCTGTTATACCTCCAATATAAATGACTGACATGCTAAGTCTTAAGCCCCAAACTGGATGAATCAACATACGGGAGATATAAAAACCTCAATGTAAAGCAGCTTCTGTTTTTCTCTCTTTGAACGTCTATATTTGTTCATCTGTCCTTTGTTGGATTCACATAGTTGCACTCGAAAACATACAGAATAGTTCTGCTGGCCATTTTTATAATTGTGTTGTGTCAGCTGTGCCGCCAGTTTATGGATTTTTATGTTTCATAACTTAGACTTAAAGGTTGATGTGTTTTGTAAAACTATTAGAGCATTAGTAAATAAATACATACATAAATGTGTTAAGTTTGAATGTTTTTCACAGTCTTTAAATGCGATAATAATGGAAAAAGCATAACCAGAACATCTACGTCTATGTACTATTATGAAGTTGGAGTAGTGCGTACATCCATTAATACTGATCTATGAGAAAAACACTATTAATATGAAACTATTATAACAAAGCTTTTATCGATGTATGCAGGCAGCCAATGGCTTCCTTGTGTTACATCAGTGCAGGAAATGGTCAACTAAATCATTTGATTTCCATTTAGGGATTGTAAAACATAAATTATGATGTAAAGTAGGCTAAATGCATTAAGCTTTACTGATGATGATGAAGATGCA